AACCTGAACGTGCCGGCGCGATCGATGAAAGGTATCCTGATCATCCCAGTGGAGGATTACGAGCCGTTCCGGAGGGACAGCGAGAAGTTTTTCAACCCCGAGATTGAAAAGGTGGAAGTGACCATCGAGGGCGTGCCCAACCAGCTGTTCAGTCATGGTATGAGGGCGTACCAGCAGTGGGATGAGATAAAAAAGCTGCCGAGCAAACATCCATACATAGCCAAAGACCTGGACCTATCATCCGTGCAAATCGGTGAATACTTAACCAACAAGTACGCGCTGTGGTTGGACATGCGATCCACGGATGACGATAAACTACACGGTAGCGGCCGCCGTATAGACAATGGCAGCGAGGGGATTACTATCCAGATTACCAAGAAGGCTCAACCCGCTGGCAAGTTGAAATTATATCTGTACGTTATTATGGACGCGCAACTTAATATAGACAATGGGAGATTCGTGCAAGCCATTTATTAATTTGCCCCGCGACCCACACTGCGCCATAGTGTGCGGGCAGACTGGCTGTGGGAAGACCGTTTTCGTGTTGGATATGTTGGAGGGGTACTACAGGGATGTGTTCGACCACATCGTTATCATGTGCCCTACTCTGAGCATGAATAAAACGTACACGGAAAGACCTTGGGTGATGACGGACCCGGACGTACACAGAGTCGATCCGGGGCCACGTCTACAGGACTGGTTGAAAGCTTACCATATGAAATTTAAAGGGGAGTCGACGCTGTTCATACTGGACGACTGCAGCGTTAATCGCGAGATAACAAAAAAAGAGAGACATGCTATCGTACCTGGCCTTCTCCGGCCGACACGCAAATCACAGCGTCTGGGTGCTAACGCAGAAGTTCAACTCGGTGTTGAAAGACCTCAGGGAGCAGACGCGATGGGTGGCCTTATTTCACTGCAAGGACAGGGATTCGTTCGAGGAGTGTTTGAGAGAGAACGATGTGATGAGCAAATTAGAACGGGAACGGGTGAAGAAACAGCTCGCTGAAACTAAACACGCTAAGCTCGTGCTCAAGACCGACCAACCCGTGGCCTATAGGGTGTTTTAGCTTAGCAATGCTTAGCAAATGCTTAGCAAAGCTTAGCAATGCTTAGTATAAATACTTAGCATTTAGTTATAGCTATGGTATTTGAAGTGTTTGTCGTGTGCAACTTAACCTTTATTTCTCTGTGTTTCGCTTATATCGTATATTATATCCTAAAATTCGACAACCACAAGAACCAAATGTCCGTGCCTTATATCATATACGCCGACTTTGAGGCCTTGGTCAAACCTATTAAGGTTGTTGGGGATACTCCCACAGGTGAGAGCTTCACACATAAAACACAGGAGCATGAGGCCTGTGGGTTTGGATACGTGGTCGTCCGATGTGACGGGGAAACGAAAGCTCCGGTAGTGTATAGGGGTCCTGACGCGGCTGAAAGGTTTCTTAAGTGTTTGCAGGAGGAAGAAAAAAATTATTAGGAACGCGTTGTATAGAGTCGCTCCCATGCGTATGAGCCAAGCCGACCGGTTAGCTCACGCCTGTAGCACTAATTGTCACGTGTGCGACTCACCACTTAACGGTGATTCGGTAAGAGATCACTGTCACGTAACCGGTAAGTATAGAGGCGCCGCTCATAACGCGTGTAACCTCAAGCTTAAAATCACCCCTAAGACAATAAACATCCCCGTTGTCTTTCACAACTTGAGAGGGTACGACTCTCACTTAATCATGCAGGCCATCGCGAAAATCGACGGTAATATAACGTGCATTCCCAACAACATGGAGAGATACATCTCCTTCAGCTTAAACGGTCTTAGGTTCATAGATTCAGTACAATTTCTATTGTCTTCATTAGGCAGTCTGGTCAAGGCCAACGATACCTTCCCTATCACCGATCGATACACAGACGCCGAGACTAGACCCCTGCTTATGAGGAAGGGTGTGTATCCCTATGAGTACATGGATAGTTGGGCCAAGTTCGCCGAGACCAGACTACCCCCCATCAAAGAATTTTACAGCAATCTGACAGACTCGGCAATATCCCAAGACGATTACTCGCACGCTATTAACGTATGGAATAAACTGGGTTGTAAGAACCTGGGTGACTATCACGATCTGTACTTGAGGACAGATGTACTGCTGTTAGCCGACGTGTTTGAGACGTTTAGGCAGACATGTTTCAAGCAGTATAAACTCGACCCCGCATGGTATTACACCAGCCCAGGTCTGTCGTGGGATGCCTTGCTTAAAAAGACCGGAGTTAAGTTGGAATTGCTTACAGATTACGACATGCACCTATTCATTGAGAAAGGCTTGCGAGGCGGGATCTGTATGGCAACCAAACGATACGCTAAAGCAAATAATCAATACGTGAAGGGCTACGACCCTAGCAAGCCAACCAATCACATTCTCTACCTCGACGCCAACAACCTGTACGGCTGGGCCATGAGCCAGTATCTACCCACAGGGGGGATTCGAATGGGCGACACCCATTGATGTTATGAGCATCGCACCAGATTCGAACAAAGGTTATATCCTCGAGGTTGACTTGGAATACCCCAAGGCATTACACACATCACACAACAGCTACCCCCTGGCCCCCGAACGTATGAGGGTTAACCCAGACTGGATGTCTGAGTACCAACATAACTTATTAGGTGGGCGAGTGGCAGACGTTGAAAAACCCGTGCCTAACTTAATGAATAAGACCAAGTACATCGTTCACTATCGCAACCTACAGCTGTACCTGTCGTTGGGTATGAGGCTGACCAAAATACACAGGGTGCTCATGTTCGACCAGAGCCCCTGGATGGAGCCTTACATCAGAATGAACACAGACCTCCGAAAGCTTGCCACCAGTGACTTTGAGAAAAATCTCTACAAGCTCATGAACAACTCGGTGTTTGGTAAGACTATGGAAAACCTGAGGAAACGCGTGACCGTGAAGCTGGTTCGGTCGAATGAGGAAGACAAGCTCAGGAGACTGATAGCCAGTCCGGCATTCAACCGTAGCAAGATATTCACCGATGACCTAGTTGCCCTACACATGAAGAAAAGCCACATAAAATTCAACCGGCCTGTTTACGTGGGGATGAGCATCCTCGATTTATCCAAACACCTGATGTACGACTTTTACTACAACGAGCTTAAGAAACAGTACGACGAGAGGTGCGAAGTGCTGTACACTGACATGGATTCCCTGCTGATGGAGATTCGAACCGAGGACGTGTACGAGGACATGAAAAAACACCTCGATTTGTACGACACCAGCGACTACCCCAAGGACCATGCCATACACAGCACGGTAAATAAAAAAGGTCCTAGGTAAGATGAAGGACGAGTGTGCTGGCACGCCCATAGCCGAGTACATAGGTTTGAGACCTAAGATGTACTCCATACTGAAAGCCGACAATAGTGAGATCCGGAAGGCTAAGGGTGTTAAGAAGTACGTGGTGAAACAACACATCAAACACGCCAGATTCAAGGAAGCCCTGTTCAAGACCCGTACCTTTAGACATAAAATGAACACACTTAGAAGTGATGGCCATAAGATATACGGACTGACAATAAACAAGACGTCCCTGTCGCCTATGGATACTAAACGTTGGATAGCTATTGATGGGATAAACACGTACGCGTACGGGCATGAGAAAATTGAACCAAGAACATAGATACAAATAAATACCCTGTCGGGACGACATGTCACGGAACCAGAGAAAGTTTGAGGCTATTTACTATAGCCCGCGTGGGTACTGGAAAGGAGCTAGCGCTGTAGATAAGTTAGCTAAAATGGCGCGAGTACCGCCGGAGGAGACCAAAGCGTGGCTTGAAAAAACAAGCCCTGTGGCAGATCTATTTGCCGCCACCACGCTACGTGCCTAGAAGGAAGTTCGGTATTAACATACCTAATAGCGTTCACCAGGCAGACCTACTGTTCCTACCCCACGACAAGAGGTACAAGTATGCCTTAACCGTAGTGGACGTAGCCAGTCGCTACAAGGAAGCCGAACCCTTGACCACGAAAGATTCGGTCCAGGTAGCCAGAGGATTCGAACGCATATACAAACGCAGTCCGCTGGCGTGGCCAACAGAGCTGCAAGTTGACCCCGGGCGGGAGTTCATGGGTGCCGTGTCACAACTGCTAGCCAAACACGATACAAAGGTCAGGCGTGGCACGGCTGGAGCCCATCGCAGCCAAGCCATAGTTGAGAGATTCAATAGGACTTTGGCTGAGCGCTTATTCGGACATCAGTATGCGAGGGAGTTGGCCGCCCCGGGAAAACGATCGACTGAATGGGTCACGAGGTTACCTAAGGTGGTGTCGGCAATCAACCATGAAGTCACCCGTCTCACCGGCAAGAAACCGGCAGACGCTATCAAACTAAAATCGATAGTGTCAGAGTCGGCCGCTCCATTGCGTGGGAAGGAGAAGCAGATACCAGATAGGGCCCTAGTGAGATATCTATACCAGCCGGGGGAACACGAGGGTGATAGCCGTAAGCGAGCCACCGATCCTATATGGTCAGTCAAAACTTACAACATAGATAAAGTGGACATAAAAGTAGACGAGCCGAACTTGTACTACTTGAGGGATGGGCCAGGCAGAGGATTTGTAAGAGAAGAATTATTGATCGTACCGTACGGCACAGTGTTACCTCCTGTCAACACGGCATAGCCATGTCTCCGGTAGTTAAGCGGCGCGTACATGTGGAGTTCGTATCCCGCTGTCGCTTGAAATTTTTATAGGCTGGGAAAGCAGTAGGGGTAATGGTAGCAAGAGCTAAGGGTCCGACCAAAGCCTTATTTGGGAAATAAGGCTTTGCAGAGGCTTTTGTTGGACTTGGTCCAGAACAATCATTACCTCTACTACTCGTAGTCAAAACAAAATGATCGCCACCATTCGCACACCATGACACTTATGGATTGGGTCTTCCATTTAGCACTACTTTAATGTCAGATGAACAAGCATAACGATCCACCCTTTCTGTACAGATCACAACGATGGGGTACGGCTGCTGCGGAAAGACCTTCAGTTGCCTTTTTATCTTCTTTAATGTTATCTTTGCGGTAAGTACGTGTCATTTTATGTAAAATATCCTGACTATGTTGACCCAAGAATTGCACAAATCCCGTACATATTGTTGATATTTTGTCTTTAACAAAAAAAGCATACATTCCCTAAGACTATTATGAGATTTGGTTAAACAAAAACAGCTCCTTTTCTCCGGCAACGTGACTGTTTCAAAACCAAAAAAGAGATTAAACCTTTCTCTGACAGAATAGTCTAGGATATTAAATAGTCGGTAAAGTTATTGTGCCTATACGTTCTGTCCTCACTTTAATTGTTGTAACATTACTCATCCCGCCCAGGGAAACACTAATATGGCCAATCCCATTTAACCGGCACAAAAGGAGGAAGTGAAATGTACGTGATTCCATCTGTAAAACTTCTTGTTTCAAACCCAACCCCTAATTACATGTTACAAAGAAGTAACTTTGGATCTTGACTGTTTTCAGATTGTGGGAATGGCCACAATAGGATTTGGGATCTTTTTGAAGGTTCACCCTCCAACAGCACAACTCCTAAATCTCGTTGAATTAGATCAACGGGGTCACTATCTTACCAACAGTGCCTGGATCATCATTGGCTTCGGGGCATTTGTGTTGCTGGTCTGCTTCTTCGGATGTGTCGGTGCTGCTGCCAGGAACAGGTGCTTGCTTGGATTGGTAAGAAAAACAACAGTTTCCTTAACAGCTCTACACGTGGACGTGGTTGCATTCAAATGTATGGAGTTTAGTTTTATGCCGATTTCAGCAATGTTCCCGGTGACACCAGAAATAATCTTCCCTCATTGTACCCATGTGGGGATTCGAACCTGGGACTTCAAGAGAAGATACTGGTCCACGACAGTGAACATTGACACGGTGGATGCACGCAAAATAGATGGAAATGTGCATGGCAACATGGTTTCCAAACTCAGGAAGCCGTGATTCACAATATATACTCTCCCAAATAAGAAACGCATATAATAATTTAAACTAATTTGCTTTCTTTATTATGATACATTGTATTGGTTTTAATAATCCACGCAATGCAATGAAACTTCGCATGGATAATGTCCAAATATCGATGTATCGGAAAAAGTCAGATAGAAGATCACATAAAGACGCTTGGTGGCGCTGAAGGTAGTACGTAGTGTGACCACCATTGGCGTTCAGTACTGCGCGATATCGGCTCAGCATCGAACGAATAAGTCTCTGGATCTGATGTTGCTGAATTGCAGTCCACTCTGCCTGTAGTGCATGGACAAGTTGTTGAAGGGTCTGCGGCTGAGGGTGACGCTGTCGTACACGCCTGTCCAGAGTACCCCAAAGATGCTCGATTGGGTTTAAGTCTGGGGAACTGGAGGCCATGGCAGGACATTGATGTTGTGATTATGAAGCAATCTCTCGTGACACGTGCTGTGCTTGGTCTGGAATTATCTTGATGGAACAGCTTCCTCTGACGGTTGAGAATAGGAAGTAGGTGTGGACGAAGGATGTCAGCATAGTAGCGTTGCGTAGTCAGGTTGCCTTGGATCATCACCAAATCACTTCTTCCAGTGTAGTATATATCCCCAAAATCATCACGCTTCCCCTCCGAAATCGGTCGGGGGGACGCAGGCGTCGGCAAAATGTTCATGACGTCGTCTGTACACTCTCATTCTTCCATCGCGTCGTTCCAACAGAAATCTCGATTCATCGCTGAATCAGATTCGACGCCAATTAGCCATAGTCCAGACCTGAACGTTGGTGCACCACTGAACACGATGTTGTCGATGTAGCTGACGTAGCACAGGGCCCAACTACGGTCTTCGTGCTCTCAAACCCGCCTCTCGATGTGAGTCTGTTCCTGACAGTCTGTGCGGATAATCCGGGCATGTGTCTGGCGGTACTGGTGGTTGTAGCTGTACGATGACGTAGGTGATGTACCCGGATGTACCGATCTTGGGCTCTAGTGGTCACTCGGGGGTCGTCCACTTCCAGATTTGTTTTCGACGGAGTTCTGCTGGTGATATCTCTCCCAGCGACGAGAAATCTTGCTCTGGTGTACGTTCATACGACGGGCAACTGCATGCTGAGTCTGTCCTGCTTCCTGAAGCCCTATAGCAATATTTCGATTGGCGCCGCTGAATCGTGGCATTTTTATATGTCACTATAGATGATGGATCACGGCATCCTACATTGACACGATGCTTACTAAGCAAAGAAAACAGTTTATGGGAATACATATTGCCTCTTTGGAATTAAACCAATGATAATAGATCACCGTGATAAACACCGACAAATTACTTTCCGAGCAAGGATAATGTTGAACCGTAACACTCAATGATACTTTAGCAGCCTAAGCAAGGGTAACGACTATCTACAACCACCAGTTTCTGTTGGTAATATGTTCCGACGTCTTCTGGCCACACCAAAAGCTAAATAACGTTTTAAGTCACTTGTGATGTAACTTTGAAGAACAATAACGCCACGCCTGCAGATTTATAAACAATCGCATTTCCTTTTCTTAATTCTGGTCCGTCAAACTAGGTGATGCAGGTTTGTCCTCTACATAGTGCCGAGTCGTATCATGAACATGTGTTTTTAATTTCAGTACATCACCTTTTCTGTGATCATTGTCATCGGAGAAGTCGGAGCCTTTGTTGTCACTGTTTTGTTCGTCGTGGAGGTATGCCGAACAACATATTATCTATGACACAACTAAATTGAAAAACAAATTATCATCCAGTCGTGATGATTTGCATTGCGGAAAATTGTATTTCCGTCCTGAAATACGTATGTTTATTCAACTGAACCAAAAAATATATAATCAGTCTAACCGCCTCGTCTAGATTTGTGCGTAAAGATTTAATTTGGCATGAACCATCCAAAAGTGAAGTGATATGATATGACTTCATCATTCCAGCAGGGCTTAGAATAACATCAACGACCCAGACGCTATCTGACCAAGGTTGAAATATTCGAGGCTTTCGAAAGCCTTTCAAAACACTTAATGGTAGACATGTGGCATTTGTACACATCGGGGACCAAAATTGTGCCCAAAGCCAAATTTTGTTTTCCCTTGTACCTTATGGTTCATTGTTTTCTATGTGGTAGTGGCAATAGTCCGAATCCTACTATGGAATGTGCCTTTACCACAGATGATATATGATTGTGGAAAGTTCTGTCGCCTTAATTCGCAAGTAAATAAAGCACATATCAACAGTATGTGGATCACTGGAGAACCAATATCATTGACATATATATATAATTATTGTAGTCTGAAGTACATGGCTCCTGGTTCGGTTTTCTTTGTAATTAAATATCTATGTAAAACTTGTAGAACCACACAAAATATTACACACGTGTCGAAATACTCACAAACTATAATGTTTATAAACGAATTTCTATGTGTTTCTAGTCTGAAGACGTAAAGCCGTTTGAAGAAGCCCTAAGGAAAACATTGCAGAGCAAGTACTCAACAGACAGAACGATGATCACACTTCCATGGGATTATGCTCAGGTTACGGTACGTTCTGTCTGAACAATCAGACATTTACTGTGGTGACCACCATGCTCAGGATCACCACTGAGCATACTTTGTCCTCAAGAAAGCAAATAGTCTCATCTTAGGTCCATGTTGCTTAGATCGGCTGGACCCACAGATATCGATATCCTTCATGTAATCTTATTGAAAAACTGTGTAATACTCAGCTGTTCCATCCATATGACTCCCACTCCTCAGTTAATATCCTATTTGTTCTTTTCCCCTGAATCTTTAGTAATGATAGTCCATTTATTTTGCGCATTTATCCATGCACATTGCATGCTCAAAGCGCTAACATATTACCCCTGGTCAACGAGTACAGAACACTCCCTGTTGAGAGCACAACCGGTCGCCTGTCAGGCGCTATACTGCTGGGTGGACAGAAGCAATTTTGAACATACTTATTTGCCTAAGGTGAGACCACATGTATCACATGTGCTTCTTTGTGGGGCAGGACTGAAGTCCTAGAAACTCTCAGGAGTCAAACTGCCAACGTTGCTAAACTTCAACTGATTCTTACCTGTGCTCTGAGCACAGGACCACACACCACCACACACCAATTACAACAGCAAAGAGCATTTATAATGAACACTCTGGGTTAAACAAATTCCAATAAAAATTACATGATCTCAAATGAGATGCAGCCATATAACCGTTTCCAATCAAACAGCTAATGAGGGTGTCTATAAGCATACACAACAATCCCCAGTAAAAGAGATACAAGTGCTTCCATTAATAGGAAACGTTGGGTGATTTGCTTGATATGCTTAAGGTTTCCAACATGTTTGCATATAGACATATTCAGGAGTGATTCATAGATGGGTGTGTTTCTCAGTCGCAATGACTAGGTTAATATTGTCCCGTCGTGCATCAACGGCATGGATTGTTAATCGGCCCAGAACTGATATTCAGCAACCGGTGGTTGCCGTACGAGGCGACTAACGGGATTGGGTGGTTATCCTGTCGGTGCATGTCGTCGTATCCCATTTTCGACGATTAATGCCCAAGATGCCAACACTTGATTTTCTTCACATGATTGATTCCAAGCCGCCTTCATATAGTTAGAATGCTATCAAATGTGACTTTGTGACGTTACAAACAATGCTTTGTCATAGCATGAACCTCCGGATTGTCTCATCCTCAATAATGTCTATCCACAGTCACATAGAAGGAATATTGTCGAGTGACAGTCCTCCCAGGAATTTCATTCGTTGATACGCTTTGACACTTTTTGTCTTTATAGTTCGAGTGCTGTGGTGTTTCCAACTTCACAGACTACAGGCCAGTCTTCAAGAATGACACTGAGGCAAGTCTTTCATGGCTGTTGTACGTTCTGTGACATGACCGCTTTAAAGTGCAATTGTATTGTCAGCGCTTCAGCAGCTATGTTAACTTATATCAAGATCGATATATCGCGTTCTGTATTCATTATCGGAATATAGCACATCTGCGTTGTTGCTTTGCGTTTGGCTAAAAATGTCTTGAATGCTTGATACTTAAAAGAAGCCTTGGCAGATATTAAAGGAATATGAACTGTAGGTACTCGTTATCTAGCCATGATATGCTTCTATATGCAGAATTAAGAAATATGAAGAATCCTAAAAATATCACCGGTGTCATATGTCGTTACAGTAATTTTTCTACATAACAATATTTTTTTCTTACAAATTTGAAAATTTATAACTAAAGGTTCCCCTCTACTTTCCTCACCTTTCAAACAACCACTAGTCAGTGATATGTTTTAACGTCATTTCAGTCATATCATTTTATTATTCAATACACACAAATAAAATGTTTAAATAACTTTTTCCATATGTTATCTGTCTTATACTCCGTCTTTGCCTGTTGTCACACAGAGGATGTGATGATGAATATGAATGCCAACTGTTGTAATGGAATAGTCCAACTTACATCTATTTAGGCTGGTCTGCAAGAGATAACATTATGAATAATCTTGGGTCACAAATGTTTACATACCTAAGCCAACAATCCTCTAACTACCACAGGGCACCTCAGATCGGGCCGGTTGACAAGCATTCTAACGCTTACGTTACAGGGGAAGGTACCCGTTACATGCTGCGTGCTGACAGGGGATAGAAATCCAGAAGATCCTGTACCTAAAGACAAGAGCGAGTGCATGAAGGATTCCTTGGGAACCAAAACTAAAAGTTTATATTTGCATACTCAGGTAAGATATTGAAATATACTATTACGACGGCATGTACCTTCGTACTTTGGTACTCTGACAATCAGACAAAGTTCAAAATTTGCATAACAGGGAAACATTGTAAAGATTGCAACACATACCAACCTATATTTTCAAATAGATTCTCCAAGAATACACACTGACAACTACAAAATGAAGTAAACACACCATAGCAAACCACAATAAAGTAACTGTACATAGTAACTGTCGTACTCTAGAGAACAAACGAATAATGAAACATATTCACAGCAGCAAACACTTTATGAAGTTTATATGCCATGAAACAACTTTTCCGCACACTGCAGATATCAGCTACACACTGAAGCTTATCCACACTTTGAACTTACGTAAAAAAGCATATACACACTACCACTATGACTGACTGACTGAGTTTGGTTTTACGCCGCTTTTAGCAATATTCCAGCAACATCACGGCGGGGGACACCAGAAATGGGCTTCACACATTGTACCCATGTGGGGATTCGAACCCGGGTCCTCGGTGTGACGAGCCAACGCTTTAACCATTAGGCTACCCCACCGCCCCCTACCACTATGAAGAATATACACTTGAAAATACAACATGAAGTATATACGGTTTGAAACTATATTATAAGTGAGTGAGTATGGTTTCTCGACGCTTTTAGCAATATTCCAGCAATATCAGGGCGGGGGACACCAGAAACGGGCTTCACACATTGTACCCATGTGGGGAATCGAACCCGGGTCTTCAGTGTGACGAGCGGACGCTTTAAACATTAGGGTACCCCATCGTCCCCTATATTATGAAGCATATACACATTGAGAACTACGTTATGAAGCATATACACACTGACAACTACATTATGAAGCATATACACACTCACAACTACAATATGAAGAATATACACATTGACATATTTACATTATGAAGTATATACATATTGACAACTACATTATGAAGTATATACACACTCACAACTACAATATGAAGAATATACACATTGACATCTACATTATGAAGTATATACATATTGACAACTACATTATGAAGTATATACACACTCACAACTACAATATGAAGAATATACACATTGACATCTACGTTATGAAGCATATACACACTGACAACTACATTATGAAGCATATACACACTCACAACTACAATATGAAGAATATACACATTGACATATTTACATTATGAAGTATATACATATTGACAACTACATTATGAAGTATATACACACTCACAACTACAATATGAAGAATATACACATTGACAACTACGTTATGAAGTATATACATATTGACAACTTCACTATGAAGTATATACACACTCACAACTACAGTATGAAGAATATACATATTGACATCTACATTATGAAGCATATACATATTGACAACTACATTATGAAGCATATACACATTGACAACTACATTATGAAGCATATACATATTGACAACTACATTATGAAGCATATATACTGACAACTTCATTATGACACTACTACATTATGAATCATATACACATTGACAACTACATAATGAAGCAAATACATATTGACAACTTTAGTATGAAGTATATACACACTGACAACTACATTATGAAGTATATACATTTTGACAACTGCATTATGAAGCATATATATAGGCATTGACGACTACATTATGAAGTATATACACACTGACAACTACATTATGAAGCATATACACACCGACAACTACATTATGAACCATATATATACACACTGACAACTACATTATGAAGCATATGCACACTGACACCTGCATTATGAAGCATATACACACTTACAACTACATTATGAAGCATATATATACACACTGACAACTACATTATGAAGCATATGCACACTGACACCTGCATTATGAAGCATATACACACTTACAACTACATTATGAAGCATATATATACACACTGACAACTACATTATGAAGCATATGCAAACTGACAACTACATTATGAAGCATATACATATTGACAAATACATTATGAAGCATATACACATTGACAACTACATTATGAAGCATATACACACTGAAAACTACATTCTGAAAGATATATATACTGACAACTACATTATGAAGCATATACATACTGACAACTACATTATGAAGCATATGCACACTGACAACTACATTATGAAGCATATACATATTGACAACTACATTATGAAGCATATACATATTGACATATTTACATTATGAAGTATATACATATTGACAACTACATTATGAAGTATATACACACTCACAACTACATTTTGAAGCATATGCACACTGGAAACTAAATCTGAAGCATATATATATTAACAACTACATTATGAAGCATATGCACACTGAAAACTACATTCTGAAACATATAGATATTGACTTCATTATGAAGCATATACATATTGACAACTACATTATGAAGCATATACATATTAACAACTACATTATGAAGCATATACATATTGACAAATACATTTTGAAGCATATACACACTCACAACTACATTATGAAGAATATATATGCGCATTGACAATTACATTTTGAAGCATAGACACATTGACAACTACATTATGAAACATATACATTCTGACAACTACATTATGAAGCATATACATTTTAACAACTACATTATGAAGCATATACACATTGACAACTACATTTTGAAGCATATACACATTGACAACTACATTATGAAAGATATACATATTGACAACTACATTATGAAAGATATACTTATTGACAACTACATTTTGAAGCATATACACATTGACAACTACATTATGAAGTATATACACACGCATTAAGAACTACATTATGAAGTATATGGACACTGACAACTACATTATAAAGCATAAATATTATACATATTGACAACTACATTATGAAGATGAATATTATACACACTGACAACTACATTCTGAAGAATATACACATTGACATCTACATTTTGAAGCATATACACACTGATAACTACATTATGAACCATATACACACTCACAACTACATTATGAAGCATATTCACACTTACAGCTACATTATGAAAATTATACATATAGACATTTTCATTATGAAATATATACACATTCACAACTACATTATGAAGCATATGCACATTGACAACTATGTTATGAAATACATACACACTGTCAACTACCTTATGAAACATACATATGATGTTAATAGTGCATATGTTGGTTGATGTAGCCATTTCGAGAGTTGAGAATTGATTTTAGTGTGCACGTGTGTTACAGTATTTCTGAGGCACTCGCCATTCAGAGTTGCTTCCCTTAGAGGAATATTCACAAGCTGAATTTATAATCTTTGGCTAGTCATGAGGTCCTTCTGTAATAATTTGATCAATAAATGCGTATATAGATTAATAGAAACTCACCTGACTATTCTTTATTTGTTTCCTTTAGTCATCAATAAGAATATTAAACGTCCCTTCGTACGAGACGGATTATTGTAATTTCAGACGTATTGGTGACACCATACATATATTACTGACCATTTATTGTCGACTCTGCGACAAGTTACCAACAAACTGTATAACGAAGTGTCTGTATATCTGACAGGGATGTTTCAACAAGCTGAAGGCTACTGTTGGGCAGTACAGCGTGGTGCTCCTCATCGTGGAGGCAGTCATCATTGCCATCACAGTAAGTATCTCTGGAAATCTAAATGAAATCTTTTCCAAGCACACACGCCTCAACCCATTGCGACCGAACGTAAATGTAAGTGACAATCCTTGAACGCCACATTTCAGCCTTGCTGCGATCCACCGAGGCACCATCATAATGTTTCCATAAATGACGCGAGTGTATCTATCACCCACGAAAACCAATTTAACAGTGTACTGAGTTAAGAAAATGACAACTGGAACAAACAGGCAGTAAGAGAGGAGAACACATGTCCTTAAATATATGCATACGTAACGCATGTCAATATCCCAGTTGCGTAGATCGACGCTCATGCTGTTTGATCACTGGATTATCTGGTCCAGAATATTGCTGAGTGCGGCGTTAAACAGTAAACCAACACATTTTGTTTTGCATTAATGAAATAATATCTGTTCAATTCATAATGGTTGAACTTCTGAAGCATTGCAATAAGCTTACATAATGTAAGAGTTGTTGTTTGATCATTTTCAGATAATCGGGATCACTATTGCCGCGTGTCTCTGCAGAACCAGCGGCGATGACATATGAGGGTATATAATGTGTATGACGTGATATGACGTGTATGACGTGATATGACGTGTATGACGTGATATGACGTGTTGAAGCGCTCCAGGTTACTTACAAGTAGCTGTTGATTGAGCAATCATGTTAATGTAACGAAGGTCTCGGCTTTAAACGTTAGGCAGTATTGTGGTGAATGTCACGATTCATCACTTCATTGCAAATAAACACAAACCTCCAACCCAAGAGCTTGCAATTGGAATCCAAGAGATGTTTTGCTACTATTCCCTTGGTGTGTAACTTTATGTAAATATCCCACCTCATACTTTTAGTTGTTATATTGTATGATATTCTTTATAGCATAATTCTCTCATTGTGTATTGGTTCTTTTCACATCACAACAAATATTTGTACAGAGAGATTTTGGAATGTGGAACTTCAGTGTATGTTTAAAGTTATGGAAAATACTTCTCAGCTCCACTATTATAATAAGAAATTCTAGAGGTTTATTGATAATATATCTTGTTATGGCGATTATGACGATTCGAGGGATACCTCTGGAGTTTAATTAAGTATTCAACTAAGATATATTGCATCTATGCTAAGTTATTTTACACCTATGTTATGAGTACATTCACCAAATATATGTGGATTCACATCCGATCCGAAACTAAGTGATTCAAAATTAGGAAATAGTCATGCATTACTGGTTTGTTAAATGAACTCTATAAAATAAAACCTGATATTAACACAGATATGAGGACATTCATGTCAGAACTCCATGTGAGACCAATAATTAGTTACGTGTTTTCGCGACCCGTGAAGGTCCAGGTTAGAATATTGATCTTCAGTAACCCATGCTTGTCGTAAAAGGCGGCTGACTTGGTTGACACATGTCATCGTATCCCATATGCGTAGATCGATGCTCATGATGTTGATCACTGGATTGTCTAGTCCAGACTCGATTATTTACATACCGCCGCCATATAGCTGGAATGTTGCTGAGTGCGGCGTAAAACTAAACTCACTCACTCACGTGTTTTCGCGAATATTTGAGAATATACGTTAGTGAATTTGGCAGTTTGTGGAGCTATATAACTCAAAACCGGCCTGCATACTGTCTAAATCCGTACACAGTTTATAACTAATTTATTTTAAGTCTTGTAAATTGTTGCCAAAATGCATATGACAAAATGTAGTCTTCAGGTGAGTTATTTAAAACCCTTACATGTAGCTTACTGCATCATTATTGTTGTTTTATGGTGAAATATAATTATCCACCAGTATATTCATTATTTTATAGAAAGAATGATTTTTTTATATTGGAAATATTACTTCCATTTCCAGTGTTTACTTTGTTTAAACTTGTTTGATTTGTATATTGCAAAGTCTTTATTTATTTTACATCTTTATATCCATATTTATACACCCACGAGGAAAACTGCACATCATTGTACATAATGAAACGTTCATTTTACAAATAAGAAAATGCCAACTAAAAAATAAAATTCATTAATACCATAGAGAAGTGTGTAGAGTTTATCAGGTTTTATGGTCCAGTGTTCGAATCCAAAATCCGCCCTGATTATGGTTCTTGTTTTTCTGTCTCGATGCCCGGACTCGTGTTTCCAACACTTTCCTCCCACATACATCCTCTCATGAAATGACCCGTGAAGATCCGGGGTAGAATAGGCCCTTAGCAACCCATGCTTGCCACAAAAGGCGACTATATATGCTTGTCGTAAGAGGCGACTAACAGGATCGGGTGGTCAGGCTTGCTGACTTGGTTGACACATGTCATCGGTTCCCAGGTGTGCAGATCGATGTTCATGCTGTTGATCACTGGATTGTCTGGTCCAGACTCGATTATTTACAGACCGCCACCATATAGCTGGAATGTTGCTGAGTGCGGCGTAAAACTAAACTCACTCAATCGCTCACTCTCGTGAAATAAATCTTTCGGATACGCCGCATTGTAATGTAACGTGCAGAAACTTCATTTTGCCAAAATAAATCTTTTCCATGTTCCGTTCTTGTGTGTACTGATTGGCATCAAATACAGCCGTATTCTTCTTTGATTCTTCTATGTATATTCCATTTCGTTTTGAAATTGAGTCACTACATCAGCTCCGGTTAATGTCGAAAGTATTGTCAGGCAGACAGACGTGTGTGTGTGTGTGTGTGTGTGTGTGTGTGTGTGTGTGTGTGTGTGTGTGTGTGTGTGTGTGTGTGTGTGTGTGTGTGTGTGTGTGTGTGTGTGTGTGTGTGTGTGTGTGTGTGTGTGTGTGTGTGTGTGTGTGTGTGTGTGTGTGTGTGTACTACATATTGTAACTGACGATGTACTACTTTTGGTTACATTTAATCTACTTCAACATGTCTGTTCCATCCATTCCTGACAGCAAAAAGGATAACAATACATTAATGATTGTTTGTAAACGAACGTTGAGTGAGTGAGTGTCGGTTATAACATTCAAATGGTGGTCGCGTATGCTGCATCCATTACAGGAAACACATTTACCTGCATTATGTGTAGACAGCACGCTTCATCACAAAATGACTACACATACCTTATCACACAGAGGAAACATTAACCTTGGAGTACTTGTGTCAGCTGAGTTCCTCACAAGATCATCAAGCATACCTGATCACATAAAACTAACATGAAATGAGTGTACATGGTTCAGCAGAACTCTTCACAAGATATATTATTATATGGCTATTTATACAGCGCTATTGTCCATCCCATCTTCATGCATGCTCAAAGCGCTTTGTTTCCCTCGATCATTGAATGTCAATATCAACGGCACATTGTATTTTCAATCTCAACTCCCTGGACATACAACTCGTTCAGCCACAAGGCGCACCAAGTTAATGTAGCTTTCCACATCCTTGTGAGACACCCATTCACAGCTGCATGGGCTGGGACACGTAGTCACAGTACTTTGTCCAAGTTTTAAGTCATGTTGTTGTACCCTCAACTAGGTGTTCGCACATATCCATGTGGTCTATATACCTGTATGTCCGTGCATCAGCAATTTGTATAAAGACAGCTTTCCTGAGTTGATATATATTGACCGGATTATTAAAGGCGGTATTACTGGGATCGAGCTATAAAACTACTGGCTCTGTGTCCTGGAATCTACAATGCACAGTTCCATCGCCACCTTCGACTTAACATTGTATAGATATACCTAAATACATAACTATAGAAACAACATGATATCTCCACATATAACTGCGTAACAAACCTTAATTACTTGTCTTTATTCTAAATAATATAGACAGAATTTTCCCTCATTTCCCTTACACATACACATACACATACACACAGAAAAGAAATATGCGTGGGTGTGCTTGTGTGGGATATAGTTGACATCTCGTTGAAGAATAGTCGTGTTTCAGTCGTAAGTTATTGTTCACTTGGATCAGGACAGGAGAGACTTTAATTTGGTATAAAGTATCGTTTACAGTGAGCCATGCACTTTGTAAAGTAAATACGAAAAAGATATATATTATATAGAAAAAAATATAATATATATAGAACGATTATTCTTAATATGTCCTATACACACTTTAGACAATGTACGGCACACGAACATAGACACAAACACCTGCCCTGTGGCGGCTATTTACTGGAAATGTGTTCATGATAAAGTACCTAGTTCCCAAATCACTCAACTGTTCAAGGGAAATGTAAACATTTGCATGCCAAGCCTCTGTTTTTTGATAAAGTATCTTATTTCCCTAATCATTCAGTTGTTCCAGGGAAGTGTAAACGTTTTCATGCTAAGCCTATGTATTCATGAAAAGGTATCTTTTTCCCTAATAGTTGTTCTAGGGAAATGTAACATTTTCAGATATCTTATCATATATCTGACGTCATGAACAACTACCTTCTTTCCTAAATCACTCAATTGTTTAAGGGAAGTGAAAACATTTTCATGCCAAACATATCTGTTCATGAAAATGTACTTTATTTTCTCAATCACTCAATTCTTACAGAGAAATGTAAACATGTTCATGCCAAACATCTGTGTCAATGAAAAGTACCTTATTTCCCAAATCCATCAATTGTCTAAGGGAAGTTTAAACATATTCATGCCAAACCTCTGAAGTATCTAAATTCTTTGCCATATGTTTACAACGATGACATTAAGCATAATGCTTACATGTACTGAATACATTAGGAAAAATAACTGTAATCACTTTAGGGCATCGATGCATCCTGTAATACACAACTGTAAGCATATTATTGATTTATTTTCCCCTATTGTTGTATTTGCTCTGTTCAAATTGCTATATGAACAATTGATTATTGATTAGTTCACATTATATATATGTCATCTCGCTTAATATCGTGATGGTTCATACACGCCCTGCAATATACCACGACGACATATGTGGTGACACCGCGCTATAAAGTTATTGCGCTCTACTTTCCGTCACTAGTCGTGCGCATGTATTGATATATGCATCGGGAGAACGGAGTGTACTGGAAGCACAAAACAGGTAAGATAGGAATTCAAGTGAACGTATCACTTACAGATATTCCAATCGTCAGGCATTATCAGTAAAAGGGGTATGTCATTTTATACGGCACTAAAACGATTCACGTTATCCTACAAGGGCAGGACGAAGCTGGAAGTGCAAACTGGACTTCACGTGTCAGAAAGTTGGTATTTCAAACTGGTTATTCATATGCTTGGATTTTTCAAGAATATGGAAATGTATCGCAGTTTATGACTCAAAAAGACATGTGTAAATTTAGATATCCAAACGTGTTCTTGTTATAAAACTGTTTTTGAACAAGAAAAGCATTGCTCATATTGATAGAGTTTTTACTAAAGTTTCGATGTCTGTCTCATAGTTTGAAAATTCAAGAAAATGCTTTTTGATAAATACACTGCTAATTCTGATTTATTTTGTGAGCGCTGTAATTTAAGAGCTCTTGAGGATGTGTTCGATTTTGGTCTTGTTTGTCCTTACTTCAAGGAACAACAAAACTCATACCAAATGTTTTTTGTCATTACCCAACACAACAAAAGTTTGTTCAACTCATGCCTATCACTTGAAAAGAAACATGTATGACTACAATTAATCTACCACACCATCTCTCTCTCTAATACTAGTGTATGTTAGCATAAACATATTACAGGATATTAAATCTCTGAAATGCTGTGAGTGAAAACATTAATGACTATCATGACAAATGTTTTCGAGTGAATTTCGTCAACATACACATCATGAGGAATCTACATTTCTACCAATAATCTTTTTGCGTTTTCAGAACAAAATATTTCTCTTTCAAATTATTATGAATCCTTCAGTTTAAATACTAGTACTTTATCAATGTGTTGCAGGTACTATTGCATACATATTCCTATTGAGTGAAATAAGGTCACTTTATATGGAATTCGGTTTTCGAATATTAATGCATAGGATATATATTTGAACAGTACATTACAGAACATTTCAAAAGCCCAAGGTCCTCAACTGTCAACTGACCTACAGGCAATACATAAACAAGGGACTTTATTATCAGTATAATGAGTTGTATAGCACAATAGATTCGTCTAGTATAGGCAATCACACACGCGTGTACGTCGGTGCAAAAATATTGAACGCGAAGGCAGACCTTAACTCACCTGTCATTTTGTATAAAATAATAAACCGGAATATTCAAAATCATAAAAAAAATATTGTTGATAGAAAGAATACTGACGGTACAAGAATGGTCCAGGAACGTTAAATATAATAGTTGAGAATGAAAAGGGTATACATGTAATTGGTTGGCAAGAACATTCTGTCAACAACACGAACAGTTACAGTAGGGTTACTTCTCCCATTAAACAATTCAGAACCATTTGTCTGGCACAAGGACAGTCATCGCATAAGCAAGCCGCCTGTCTGGCTATCATTGCTCCCTGCATGCAGAGTTTATTCAGGCGTTCTTGCATAATGGACATATGGTGTAGATAAATACAAGTATACACTGGATATTATCGATGTGAACATTCTTGTCGAAAAGCTGAATTGAACCAATTGTCGCCAAATATTGATTCAGTATCATATTATTTATATAGGAGCAGATGTTTTCATTGACTGTAGGCTACAGCGAATGTACACTAAATGTGAAAGTTTAATAGTGTTATTGCAGGCAAGATTACAAAGTTACCAATCACTCATACTTCAAGCTCGTGGGATAGTCATTTTGAGATGATAACGTCAATCTTGAACTTTATTTATGGTCGCATTAGTTTCAGTATTTGAAATGATAGTACCATTTATGAATGACCACCTTTGAATTGTAATTGCGGGTGTAGTCTTCAGGAGAGGACATAAATATTTACCTAACGGTGACAACATTCTAGTAAGGTTTATTTAAAAACAGAAGTGACAGAAGTGGAGTTAATCACATATATAGATTTTGAAAACATCAAAGGTTTTAAATGAAGTACGACGTTAACATCTCGCATGGCAATTTGATAGAGAAAACCTGTTTCCTAATCGTTGGATTGTGTTGGATCGTGATCGTGTACAGGCTGTCGCGAGGCTGACGAGCATTATATTGAATGATATACTGAGTTATGTGCTTGTCGTTGGACCTGTAGCTTCTATAACTATGGGTTCTATAAGGTTAAACAAATCAAGAAGGCGTTTTAAACAATCAGACAGGAGGTAGATAAAGAGAGGGAGAGGGGAGGTGGGGGAGAAAGAGTATACACTGTCTGGGATTTATGTTGGTAACATGACGAAGTTGTGGATGTTGGTACATTGTGTGAAGCCCATTTCTGGTGTTCCCGGCTGTAATATTGCTGTGGTATTGCTATATGGCGTAACACGAAACTCACCCGTCACTCGTCCAACTTGGGTTACGAAAAGTGTGAGTGAGTGAGTGAGTATGGTATTACGCCGCTTTTAGCAATATTCAAGCAATATCACGGCGGGGACACCAGAAATGAGCTTCACACATTGTACCCATGTGGGGAATCAACATGACGAGCGAACACCTTGACCACTAGGCTACCCCACCGCCCTACGAAAAGTGGTGTGTGTGTGTGTGTGTGTGTGTATCGGCGAGATGCCTCAGCCCGTTTGCGTCATGGTTCAAGCTGGAAATATTTTCCATCATGGATCTGTTAGCTTGTTTGTTTGTTTGTTTGTTTGTTGTATAATGTCACACTCAGCAATATTCTAGCTGTATGGCGGCGGTCTGTAAATAATCGCGCCTGGACCAGTCAATCCAGTGATCAACATTATGATCATCAGTCCACGCAATTGGGATACGATGTGTCAACCAAATCAGCGAGACCCCGTTCTAACCCCGGATCTTCAAGGGTCTATAATGTACCTAGTGTAGAGCAATTTGATACTGGAGAGCGTACTATACTGAGTCAAAAAAGAAACTTCACAAAATGTAATTTGAAAAATAATACATGATGATACATCTATGTATCCGAAATGGGATCCCTATCTTTAGAAAAAAACGTTAGCAAAACCCAATCAAACCCATCCATTCGTCGTGCAAATGACGTTAGTGCCAAATCAGGTTTTGCACGTGCAGTCGATCATGTGATCTTCGCATCGAAGTTTTCTTCATATGCACGTGTTTGCATTGGCCTCAATAATTGAAAAAACACTTTTAAACCACAGTTCTAACGGTACTTGAAATGCCACGATTGTCAAATGTGCAACGTGAACGTGCCGTTGGCATGTTGCAAGCGGGAAGATCAGTTATTGACGTCGCAAGAGCAATGGGGTGCAGCCGTCGTACTGTGTATGACTTGCGAGGTCGTCTACAACAAACCGGCACCACTTCTGATCGCCCAAGGTCGGGTCGTCCACGTGTGACGTCACGAGCAGAAGACCGTCAAATCGTCCTACGTCACCCACGTGACAGATTTCTGCCGGCTACACGAACCAGGGCTGAGATGTTTAGAGGTCGACTGTCCTCACAGACCATTCGAAATCGGTTGCGGGCTGCCAATCTTCATTCTCGACGTCCATATCGTGGGCCAATATTGACGCCGTTTCATCAACGTCAACGTCTGCTGTGGGCCCAACGTCACCTCCGATGGACCCAGAGAGACTGGAATCGAGTCGTCTTTAGCAATGAATCCAGGTTTACCCTCAGATTCGCGGACGGCAGGCATAGAGTCTGGAGACGACGTCGTGAACGGTATGCCCAATGTTGTGTACAGGAAGTCGACATATTCGGGGGCGGAAGTTGCATGGTGTGGGGTGCTTTCTGTGGGAACAACCGTTCCCGACTTCTGGTCATCCGTGGAAACCTCACAGCTGCTGCTTACCGCGACCAGGTGCTCACCCCTGAACTCGTTCCTTTCATGGCGGCTCATGGCCCAGGTCTACAGTTCCAGCATGATAATGCTCGGCCGCATACCGCGATGTTGACACGAAATTTCCTTCAAAACGCTGGAATCAACGTCATGGACTGGCCATCGAGGTCCCCTGACCTTAATCCAATAGAGCACGTTAGGGATGCACTTGGGAGAAGGCTTCGTGGTCTTAGGAACCAACCTCAGAATTTGCAGGAACTTGGCGCTGCCTTGCAAGAGCAATGGCGCAGAATCCCCAACCACGTGTTCACAAGCATCAGGCAGTCGATGAGGAGACGGTGTTTGGCAGTGGTGAATGCGCGGGGCGGCCATACACGATATTGAACTGAGAAATTTCGCATATTTATTCTTGTGACTTGACATTCTGTAAACCCATGTTTTGGAACGGCGGTGTAGCCTAATGGAACTGATTATGGCACTGTCAGTGTATCGAGTACATCACACAGATCTCAGCAATGAAATAATAACAATTTAACCATCTTACCATCTCTTGTTCTTTTATAGTGCCCTGAAGAAAGAATGTGAAGTTTCTTTTTTGACTCAGTATATTTGTTGAAAGGTTTGTTGGAACCAAAATTCAATTTTTGTATATTTTACAGAAAAATGTTTTGCCTTGAAATTTTCAAAACCAAAATTTATTGGCGAAATGTCTTGTTGCCCCGAAATTCGTCTGCTACCTGTATGAACATGTGTTTAGTTAATGAACACCCAATGCCTTGGAAATTAGTGTTAGTTAGGGGGTTAATTTCTCTGAACCGGTGCTTGGCGGTGGGGTAACCTAGTGGTCAAGGTGTTCACTCGTCACGCTACCATGGGTACAATGTGTGAAGCTCATTTCTGGTGTCCCCGCCGTGATATTGTTAAAGCCGCCGTAAAACCCAACTCACTCACTCACTGAACCGGTGCTTCAGTTCTACAGTGCCTGTCATTGTTACCATGTTACTTCATTGTTCAAGACTACTCACACTGTGATGTTATATTCTCTTCTTTACAGTCGGTAAACATGGCGTTCAACTGCTGCGAAAAGACATTCAGTTGTCTCTTCATCTTCTTCAATGTCGTCTTTTCGGTAAGTACATAAACCCATCGACTTATTTATACCTTCATTTGAGTTTATAATGTTAAGAAGTGTCCTCGATATATATATACTCCCCATCAAAAGTTCAAACTCACTAGTGTAAATGTAGCCACTTACTTCAGTCAAGGGCGGTGGGGTAGCCTAGTGGTTAAAGCGTTGGCTCGTCACGCCGAAGACCCGGGTTCGAATCCCCACATGGGTACAATGGGTGAAGATAATTTCTGGTGTCCCCCTCCGTGATGTTGCTGGAATATTGCTAAAAGCGGCGTAAAACCAAACTCAGTCAGTCAGTCAGTACTTCAGTCAACTGTTTTGAACTAGATTTTGTAAAATAATCCATACAGTTTAAAGGTACTATTTAGACATGAGCTTATGTATTGTAAAACTAATTCGTGAGGTTGAAAAGTTTGTTGTCATGTGTTCAATAAATGATGAAACTCGGTGAAAAATGGCGATTTATTTATCACAACTTTACACCAAAACGCAGCTGTTCACATGCATGATGTTTGCACATGCCTTTCAGCAATTTTAAGCATGATCCTCGAGCAATTAATCTGGCGAAGGTTTGCAGATGTTTCCCCCAAGTTAGTGGAGAAGTTCATCTTCGTTGTAATCATATGTACATACATAGCTTATAGTGATTGACTTAAGCGAGTCTAAACTTTTGATGGGTAGTATATTACTTGTAGATAATAGATGTAATGATATTGTGGCTGTGTGTCATGATTGTTACTGAAAGAAAGTCTGGACATTTTGGGTGGTTTTGTTAACCTATTGAAATGCCTTCACATGAGAGGAAGGTATTATTGAATTAATTTTCAAATTTGTTCAGGTTTTTGGACTGGCCACCTTGGCTTTGGGAATCTATCTCAAGGTTGAACCTGAAGCTTCTGAACTAATAAAGGTAGTTGAGATAGAAGATGGAGCACACTACCTCACGAATGGAGCCTGGGTCATCATTGGCTTTGGTTCTCTCGTATTGCTTGTCTGCTGCTGTGGATGCGTGGGAGCTGCCACTAAGAGCAAGTGCTTGCTGGGACTGGTAGGTAAAATAAAAACATCAAAGCACTGAATAGTGTGACAATCGCACCCCGTAACGACATGGTGGTGCCCACATACGGTAATGATCAAAACAAAGGATCATATGGGTGGAGGGGTGGGGTAATATTTGGATATTGGTATTGGCATCCTCGGGTAAGACTTGCGCCGATGCCCTTGCTAGTTGACGCAAATGAGATCTCACTCATGCACGAACTGATGGCTTGCCCTCGGGCTTTGGTCAGAGTGCATGTATTCACTCTGTCGTCATGACGCTTCATATATTTGATTGGTTGGTTGGTTTGTTGTTGATCGAGTCAGCGAGCCTGACCGCCCGATCCCGTGTGTGTAATGGTTTAGAAGCCAGACCCCCCAAATGGTGAAAAAGTGGCGCAGTTCTTTCGACCGAATGGGATGTGATTTTTCACAATCAGGAATGATTTAGCTTTGATTTATAGCCGGTTGTCATCAGCTACCGTGCGTGACTATTGTGCAGGGGCACTTTTAAGGTGCAACGTGTCATTTCAATCATGGTAATATTTAACCGATAAGTGGATAGTTTTATTTAATAACTCTGGTTTGGATTGACCGATTTTCATGAGAATAGAAGTTTTCGAATGCTCAAAAGGTTTTTGACAATAATATTGTATATATGCTCATCGCAAAAGATATTTTGGGAAGGTAAAAAGTCAATTTCAATAGTAAGTGCATTTGATGAGAAACAATACAAATAAAACTTTGACAAATTTAAGGTAAGTTTACCAAAGTTCTGTTTTCCTAATTCAACTATATCATTTGAAGATCATATATACGTTTGGTTTGCACTATATGCATGAAAAACGATTACACGGAAACACGGAAGTTGGTACTTTGTATTCAGATCATCAAATTAGTGCATAATCTTAATTCAACAGTAACAGCTCCATCAACGATGCCAAATATGTCAAAGATTACCCAATATAACAGAAAGCTCTGAAATGTATAATTCTATTATTCCAGATGTCTTTCTTTCTCATCAAAGTATGATGAGTCAATCATGTCATCATAATGAAAGCAAAATTTCCTTCATATCAATTCGTATCTATTATTCTTAATAATGATAGTGTATTCCCAGTTGACATGTTAGTCAAAGTCAACAATGTCAAGATCATGGGAATATGTTTCAGGTCCATATCCACCTGCTGAAGTTCACAACAGGTTCAACCGTTCTGTACACTGACTTTTACATGCACAGATATGAAGCTGAAAAAGGTCCACGGGGACGATTTAGTCTAAACTTATTAATAACTTTATGACATATGAATATTTGACAGAAAGACAGACAGACAATTTATTTCGAGTATTCAAGGCCATGGCCCATATTAGAAAGGGTTTTAACAAGTGTATTCATGCTGGTCATATTACAGGTATCTTGTCACCGGACGAGACAAAAAAAGCTCTCGTAAAATAACAATAGAGATGCTACACTAAACTATCAAACAATATTTCAGCATATATACTGAAGATCTAATTATAATTTGGTGTATTTCTTATCCTTAAGACTTTATATAAAACCTTGCCAAACTTAATATTACATTCTTATCAGTACTTGACATAATTTTAACAAAACTGTCCATAGAAGGGCCATTTCTTATGCTATGATGAAGACATTCTCTTCTCTCGGCTTCATAACGCTGACAGATCATCAAGACATGAAATTCATCTTCAGCCAGAAATACATTTTTACTATGACAATATAAGCAAAGTCTTTCACTTGCTGTTAAATTGCAATGCCTTCCTGTTTCAATTGCTAGCCTGAAATTATTACACCTGAATTTACAGATAACAGTTCTTAAATGTTGTGGAATGTCAATTGTAAGATAAGACTCAACATGTAACATAGATATAAATTGACAATAAGTTTGACACTTGCTCAACTGTGAAGTAATACAGTGCCAAACTTTCCGCCCCACCCTTTCTGCCATGCAATAGTCCAAAATGAAGTTCTGAATCTCCGAACTCACTGGGGCTAATTCACTATAGACGGAGCTATCTATGTCGATAAAAAGTTCCTATTTTCAGAGACTTATGCTTTGTAAAAAGGGTCAGGATACTGTAATTATGGATCAAAACATGTCCCGGATATGCTTATTGGTTTTTCAAGATCATTTCATTTCTGAATTTCTGCCCAATTAAACAACTCTTGTAATATCTAATATTCAAGGAGCGATACGGTAGCCTATTAGTTAGAGCGTTCGTTCGTCACGACGAAGACCCGGGTTCGATTCCCCACATGGGTACAATGTGTGAAGCCCATTTCTGCTGTCCCCCGCCGTGATATTGCTATTTAGCAATTTAAATTGCAAAAAGCGGCCAAAAACTAAACTCACTCACTCCAATATTCAACTTGCACGTTGTGATGCCTTTTTATGGCGTTTGTTTGGGTTTTGTGCGTGTGTTTTTTTCTTGTTGCATTTGTATGGGCTGGGCCTATTCAAGGTGAAATCAATCTAAGCAGAATAAATTGATTATTTTCTGACTAACATATAAAGTGACCTATATTATGTTTGTACCATTCGCTCACGGACGTTTCCGGTGACCTCATTTTGCGTGTATTTGCAATCTTGGGTAGGCAACCACTTCTACTGAAGATGACATTTTTGTGTCTTCTTGCCATCATTTTCTCCTAAATGCCACACAACAACATCCTAATAATTACATTTTATCATGGTTAATTTTTTATAATATTTGCACTGTAAACTGATCAACATGTAGTAGTGTTGATACGTATTGTTGATACGATGTAACGCATGGAGCTGAAATTATCTGATATTTTGCTGATCTAAATACAAAGTACAAACTTTCGTTTCCTTGTAATGATGCCATGCATGCAAACAAATGTACATTTGATCTTCAAATGGTATAGCTGAATTAGAAAAACATGCATAACTTTGTGAAAATTACCTTTAATTCGTAAAGTTTAACTCATATCAAATGCACTTTCTATTAACATTGTTTTTTTACCTTGTCGGTTAAAATATTACAACAGCTGAACCTTAAAAGTGCCTCTGCACGGTAGTCACGCACTATAGCTAATGGTGACAACCGGCTTTAAATCAAAACTAAACCATTCCTGAAAATCACATCCCATTGGGTCGCCAGAACTGCACCACATTTTCACCATTTTGGGTGTCTGGCTTCTAAACCATAATACAAAATGCCATCTTTTAACGTCTTTTGGTATTCCATAAACCCCTGCCCACACTGCAGTTGGGTTATATACCACGGACGCAAACCGCTGACATGGGGCACTGGTGTCCGTTTTGTTTACACTATGGCGTTGATTTCTCAATATACGTTTACAGGCAACTGTAATATAAAATGAACCTGCTGGTTTGAGTGTAAAACCTCCATGGCATTTAACCCGTGAAGATCCGGGTTAGGATTGGTCTTCAGTAACCCATGCTTGTGGTTCGAGGGGCGACTAACGAGATTGGGTTGTCAGGCTCGCTGACTTGGTTGCCACGTCATCGTATCCCAGTTGCGTAGATAGATGCTCATGATGTTGATCACTGGAATGTCTGGTCCAGACAGACCGCCGCCATATAACTGGAACATTGCTCAGGGCGGCGTTATACAACAAACAGATAAAACAAACATGCAAACATATTCAATCTCAGAACCGAATCATATCATGATTGTGTACTATTTATGTTTCAGTACATCTGCTTTTCCGTGATAATCGTCATAGGGGAAATAGCGGCCTTGGCAATCACAATCATCATGGTTGTGCGGGTACGTCTGATCTTCACATTGTCGCCATTCGGGACTGTTGCGTACGGTTTGAAACCAGCTAAAATAACATGGACAATGCCATAAACGATGAACGAATAATTGCGCTAGTTTTGTGGCTTTAATGTGTTTTGTTTAAACTTTCCATTATTTCCATCAACTTTTTAAGTCATTTCGAGATTTTTTATCTCGTTACTTCGATTATATGTTCGTTGTTTCGATTATTCACTCGTTAATACAAGTTTATTTACAAAACTGGGAATCACGAGAAAATTATCGAAGCAAATTACATGCAAACTTAAGTGTTTGAAAAGAAACTTGAAATAATGAGGAAATATCTTTAAATTGTACCCTTGATCGGACAACTTCATACGTTAAGATTCCTCGTAAAACAAGCATGTTAGGTTGTACATCATAAGTTGGGAAAACACCAAAGGATGCAGCGATTGAAATATTGTCAAACATTAAGCGAAACAAATCTGCTCTTCTCTCATACAGATTTGTGGAGAACTTTTTGTCACTCTGAATCTTTATGCAAAAATCTGAATATGAATCTCACTTGTTTCCTATATTTCAAGTTCAGGCGGGTAAATAAGTGAAAGGGAAATGGCCATTTGATGGTTATTGAACAATATTAAATCATCGATATACCTGAAGCTTTATCTTACCTTCTTGGCATAGTACCTTGTTTTGAACTTGCCTACCGAGAAGACATTCTTGGTTATATGCGTGAAAAACAGATTCGAAAGAGTGGGAGCACCATTTCTGTCAATGATGCCTACTTGTTTTCTGAAATTTTTACCTCTAATTCAACGAGGAACTCCTGCATTTCACATGTTGATTACTCAGTAGACCTCTGATGATATTTGCTCTCATTTTTGGCACTTTGTTCTGAGCCTCTAAAGATAGATACAAAAGTGTATTTTTTATCTCTATGATCATTAACAAATGGATGTCGGAATGATGTGTTTCCTTAACTTGGTCATGAGGGATAGTACGAGTAACAAGAAATGATCGAAATTACGAAAATGTAATCGAAGTAGGTAGAAATATTAAACGCATTTTGAAATGATAGGAATGTTCGTTTTACAAATATGTATTTTATGTTCTGATTGTAACACCATTAGAGTTTCGTAATAAACAACTAGGTATTAACAACATTTGGACAGCATGCCTCTACGATATTAACATAATGATGAAACAATATTTCGAAAATATGTATGACTTGCTATAAGAGACGATATGGATGGATCACTTTCAAGAATGCGGTTGACACTGTTGTCTTAAGATACGCCTACATCTTCTGTAACACCAAGTATTATCACTATTTGACATTAATTTATTGACTTGTGTCTGTTGTATAATGTCATCTTCCCAATTGCGCAGATCGACACTCATGCTGTTGATCACTGGAGTGTCTGGTCCATACTCGATTATTTACAGACCGCCGCCATATAGCTGGAATATTGCTGAGTGCGGCGTAAAACTCAACTCACGCACTCACTGTTGTATAATCACGCTGCCTTTACGAGAGATTTCTCATGATTATGGAAAGGGTTCAGTCCAGTATATACAAATGTGTCCGTCAGTTAGATTGTATTGATTGTATATGAGCTCTTGTTCCGTAGAGAATTGTACGTTAAAAGCTGATGTCTCCGTGTTTTGTCAGATTGATGACGTCAACACTTTCCAAAGCAACCTGACAGCAAAGGTTCAGAATGAGTACAAGAGCATGAATGAGTCCAGCCAATTCAGAGACTCGTGGGACTACCTTCAAAAAACGGTAAAGGTTTTGCTACTGAGGACGTGCGCTATGGGACACGACATATATAACCCGCTGTATATATACTTCTTTTCAAAGGCTTACACTCACTAGTGTACATATAGCCACTTACTTCAGGCAACTAACATTTGCAAAATATTCCATACTGTTTAAAGGTACTATTTACACATGAACTGATGTATTGTAAAACAAATTTGTAACCATGAAAAGATCATTGTCATGAGTTCAATAAATGATAAAATCAGTGTAAATTGGCGAATTCTTAACACAACTTTACACCAAAACACAGCTGTTCACATGCACGATACTTGCACACGCTTTTCAGCAATTTGATGCATGATCCTCGTGCAAATCATCTGCATAAGGTTTGCAGTTGGATCCCCCAAGTAAGGGGAGAAATCAATCCTCAATGTAACCATTATATATATCCATATCTGAGGACACCAACAAAAGGGCTTCACACATTATACCCATGTTGGGAACCCGTGTCTTCAGTGTGACGAGCGGACGCTTTAACCATTAGACTACCCCCACCGCCCCTTGAGATTTCAGAGACGACAAGGACAATGATTTTACAATCCCTTTCATAGCTAGTTTCTATTTAGCCAACTTGATTACAGCCCTTTCTCTGAGCATGACACATTTTTTTCAGTCTGGTAAAGGAGTATTTATCTTCTCTGACACATATTCATAATTTTTCTTTAACAGTTCAAATGTTGTGGTGTCGCCGGCTACAAGGATTTCGACGTGGTGTACACCGGCGCTGATAAGGTGTGTACCATGTGTATCCATGCATAATCCGCTGCATCCTTTGAAATGAGTTAATTGTATGGGTACGAAATGTATTAACGTTAGCACGCGTAAAAACAGCTGAGCAAATTCTTTTTGTAAATGTATTGAAATCGTATTTAAAGAAGATCTAATTTTGAAAATACGACTCCACATTTGGAATTGGAGTTTCAACATATGACAGTGATAAAATAAAATAATGAAGTAACAGGTCGGTGAATTCTACAAAACACGACACCGATTCTTAGCACTACCTTTGAATAGTATTCTGACATTTCAGGACAAAGTACCGGCGAGTTGTTGTACTGCCTCGGGTGGAATGGCGACAAATTCCACCGGACACTGCAAAGATATGCACCAAAAGGTAAAACACCCGTGAAGCTCCGGGTTAGAATTGATCTTCAGCAACCAATGCTTGTCGTAAGAGGCGACTAACGGGATCCGGGGGTCAGGCTCGCGGACTTGGTGGACACATGTCACCGTGTCTCAATTGCGTAGAACGATACTAATGCTGTTTATCAATGGATTGTGTGACCCAGATTCGGTTATTTACAGACTGCCGTCATATAGCTGGAATATTGCTCACTGCGGCGTAAACCTAAAAACTCACTCACTCACTCACTCACGCAAAAGATAAAAACGAAGGTCAAACAGTGCACGTGTATATTATCGAGCCTCTTAGGCGAACAGAACAAATACTCATTCCACATGTTTTAACGTATGTTAACAAATCTGCATTTTACAGTGTGTATGTAAAACGTATAGGCATTATTATACGTCTCCTGTCCAATATATGCATACATAAAGTGTTGAAATCCGTATTAATATAAGTGTACAGTGAGGCATGGTGACAACGAATTCAAAGAAACCACTTTGAGTTCGTTTGTTATAACCAAACGCATTTTAAAACACACTTAAACAAACAAGTACAATAATTGGCCGGAACCATAAGGACAGTTCGTTGTATTTGTCATTTCATTACAACCATGTTCGTTATAGGGCTCCAACGTGAAATTACTTAAAATTAAAATTGTTATCTTTAAGGGATGCTTTGAACTTCTGAGGGACAAGGTACATGAGTACAGCGATGCGCTCTTCATATTTGAGGCAATCGTAATGGTGGTCACCGTAAGTATATGTTTGTGTACTTAGAGTTTTGCGTTCTTTCATATTTGAGGCAGTCGTATTTGCAGTCACCGTAAGTATTCTCATGAAGACCAACTCGTCGCAATTTGCCTCTGGAGCCACATCATTGATGTCCCAGTATATAATTCTGAGAGCACAATGCTATTCACATTCGAGGTGATGATTGTTAATGAGATTACGGTAAGTCATTCTAACAGCGTTGCTATATTCATATTTGAAACCATCGACTTTCAGACCAAAGTAAGTACCTTTGAATTTTGAAAGCACAGTTCTATTTATAATAAACTCTTTCGTAATCGAGATTATCTTTGAATTCTAACAAAACTGAGCTCTTAATATTTGGAATCATCGTCATTCAGGTCACCTTAAGTATCTTTGAATTTTGAAAGCAGTGTGCACTTCATTCAGTCTCTCTGTTTTTGGTACGATTGCGGTGTTCAGGAGGTGGTAGGGAAGCCTGGTAGTTAAAGCATCCAGAGTTCGATTACCAAAACGGGTACAAACTACAATGTGTGAAGCCCGCTTCTAGTGTCCCCGTCGTGATACTCCTGTCCAGACCAGATGCATGTGATATTTGCTTCAATTCCGCAGTCGCGTCTATCTTGTTTATAAAGCACCATTCCCTTCCTCGTGGGTTTCTCCAACGTGGTGAACGTCTGACGCCAGCATCACTTCGGACGCTTCCCAACATTCAAATGACACGCCATGACATGACTGGAATATAATTCAAATCGGAGTTCATCCGAATCCATTCACTGCATGTTATCGTGTTTGATATGTCTGTCATAAATTGTTATACGGTTGAAAATTTCATATCCAGAAGGAACAATAAATTTGATAAATTTTCAGAAAAATGGTTTTCTATATTCTCAACATTTAACTTCTGACTTGATCTTTAATAATCAAATTCTCTCTATGCTATCTGTTGATCTAACATTATTGTTGAACCCAATGAACTTTGATCATGTATTTGTACCTTTTTTGCTTTACTTTATATGCTTGTACTCATTTATGGGAACAAATGTTTAAAAAAATAAAGTCTCAGTACAATTTCATTTTGCTGTACCAGAGCAAACTATAAGTTTAGTGTGTATTGTTATTGTTAGCTTTTCCATTCAGAAGAACGAAATACTGACACATAACACTCATGTTGAACCTCTGACTGATCTTTTCAGATAATCGGGATCATCATTGCAGTCTGTCTGTGCAAACGAAGTGGTGAAAAAGTATAACCAACCTTTCGACTTTTCCTTTGCGGATCTGTAACACATATTTAGATGGTTATGTGCACTTTATATTCTTTGAAAAGTACAGGCTGTTAATTTAGAAGCAAGGTCTGAGATCAAATTTTCAATGTTTCAATTTTATTGTTGTTATTTCTTAAGTTACCAACACAAAACGGTGTGCATTTTTCAAATCACTTTCGGATAATGATTAAGGAACATTGTATGTAATTGTTTTCATTCCAAACGCTAGTTAAATATTGCTTAAATAAGGCAGAAAGGTTTATATTGTTTTCTTAAATGGTACCATGCAGCAGTTTTATAAATATATGTGTTATGTGTATCCACTTGGGGTTGAAAATCCACGTAAATACGAATGCGTTGTTACGTCGCTCCCACCTAGCCTTGTTATATATATAGTTAATGAAAATACGCTCTTATTAAAGAATATTAATGCAACGGTTTGCTTTCATGATGTCGAAACAACTTACAAAAAAATTACTTGTGATTGTAAACAAGTTATTTCTTTTGAGAATTTATAGCTTTCTTCTGTTCATATTAGCATCAATTACGTATAGTATTGCCATTATAATTATCTGTCTCGTGAATAGTCAACTTTTATTCGTTAAAAAGAGATTACGTATGCACTCATTTATTGAAAAAGTCTTTTGCCGCCTTGAAAGTATTAGAGGAGGAATGACCCATTTGTGTAAACAAACACATTTGGCTATACAGAGTTGTGGCCCTTGGGCACGCAAGAAATCCACGATTGTGGGTTCGATTCCCAGTTTGTCCCGATGGTGGTTCTGGGTTCGTCAGCACCGGGATCGTGGGTATCTTCAAAAACAATACAAGTTTGAAATCTGCTTCACGGCTGTCTTTCCAACTACATTAAGCTGGCATGCTGGAATACTGTTCCGAGCAGCTTCGAAAACAGCTCACTCACTTACTTGAAATATCAAGATATTTGGGACAACCTTGCAACAAAAAACTATTGAACAGCTGTATGAAGCTATCGATAATGTCCTCAACGTTAATTTTATGCATGTTTCGATTATTGCAAACACACGCACACGCACACGCACACGCACACACACGCGCGTGCACACAAACACAAACACACTCGAAATGTGTAAGACATTTTGTAAATTCCTGATAGTCTGTCGGTGTTTTGGGTACACGTAAAATCTCCTTTTTCTGTTCGTTCGATTTCTGTTTCACTGTAATGAATAGAACTTGTGATTTCAGTTTGTCAGTGTCCAGCTGACAGTAAAATTAGTTTTAAACATTTGACTGTGATATTAATCATCATTGCGATCTGTTGTTCAATATTATTCAGCATTAACAGCATAAAGTATGTTCGTTACTCGAGGTAGCAGCTGGACAGTATGCACAAGCATATCTTTGTTTTAAGGTGGAGGTCTCTTGTGGCCATGATCGTACACAATAGCTTGTTCGTTACATAATTAGACAAAACACAAAGCTTATCTTTCAATGATATTTGTTCAGGAATTCATTTTTGGTGATCAATTATTATGTATAATTACAATTATATATCTGCAGCGAAAACATTTTACATGAAAATTTTGTATCGTGTTTACAAAACTAATTTCCGTATTATCAGATAACTTACAGGACGTTTTTACTCGTTATAATTAATATTCTTGTTTATGGTTTTAATATGTTTAGTTTGTTGGTTGATGATTAATTTGATATATTTCTATGTCATCTCAAAAATGTATCAGTCATTTATTATTCGTTCAAAACATTGTATGAAACTTCAGGTTTTTTGTTCATTATCCTAAAGATTTATTTTATCACGTCAATCATCACCTTTCTCATCTTTATGTCTGGTAATTATGCTTCCTATTCTTCAATTGTATGTATAATATTTCAATATTTACGAATAAAATATTTCTAAAATGTGTCTTTGTGTCATAATGAGCATGTATTTCAGTATGCCGAACAAGCCTTCGAAGATTTGAAAACAGCACTGGTCGATGTTTGACATAGTTTCTAATTATTTTGAATACTTATGTCGCTATCAGCAATATTCCAGCAATAGTATTCTCCTTTACCATTTGAGGATAGAAAGATGAGCCATTTATTCATTCGTTCGTTCGTTCTTAAATAAAACAGTTTCCATGGAGACTGAGTGACTAATCTACCATGTTAAACATCTCTGACATCAACATCAACAGACAGCACCATTTTAACATGTTAGTTTTGATGCAAGCCTGAATTTGTGTGGAAGAAGGGAGATAACTTTCATCAAACTTTTACATCTGAATAAACCTCCAAAGAATCTGTTCATACGTTGTGCTTATTCTAAACTCTTGTCGCTTATATTGAAATCAGGTTATTGAATAACAAGGTATAGTATGTGTGATCCGTCGTTACCCTGTCGGAATCTACGCAGAGCAAGGACACTGTTGATATTGAAGGTTCTCAGAACGAATTATTCCTTAAAAAATGCGTAAGAATGAAGGACGTCATAGTAAGATTATGTTCTTTACAATATTTATGAATAAAAACGTATTTATTATGTATACCGTTATACCGACATTTCGGTATTAATCCGGATACCGTGGTCAAAACTGAATACAATAAGCAAAGTAAAACACCGTCGAGAAAACACCACATTCTGCTTCTATTGATTTCCGTGGACTTCCTCAAACATGTATTTGTAAAGAGTAGACGATCGGCTTGTATCACAAGTTTTCGTTTTGAATCAGTGAGTGAGAATAGTTTTACACCGCTTTTAGCATTATTCCAGCAATATCACGGCGGGGAACAACACAAATGGGCTTCACACATTGTACCCATGTGGGGAATCGAACCCGTGTGTTCGGCGTGACGAGCGGACGTTTTGACCATCAAGCTACCTCATTGCTCCCCTTCGTTCTTAATTGGGGCGGTGGGGTAGCCTAGTGGTTAAAGCGCTGGTTCGTCACGCCGAAGACCCGGGTTCGAATCTCCACATGGGTACAATGTGTGAAGCCCATTTCTGGAGTCCCCCGCTGTGATGTTGCTGGAATATTGCTAAAAGCGGCATAAAACCAAACTCAGTCAGTCATTCAGTCGTTCTGAATTAAGTTCCTTCTCTTCATTGAACTCTGTATATAATAATATGTAAAAAGAGATGTCACAGAGGGGTGGTATCTAAATGATCAAAGCCTTAGCTCAGGAAACCGCCTCCGTGGTGTAGTGGTTAGAGTGTCCTCCCGGAGAGCGGAAGGTCGCGGGTTCGATCCCCGACTGCGTCATACCAAAATATGGTACTTGTTGGTCCCTGCCTGGCGCTCGGCATTAATTGGTACAACAAGGACTGGTCGGCTCGGAGTCAGTATAATGTGTCTGAGTGGGGTATTCATGCTTCACTGCGGCATGGTATCTCAGTGGGCTAGCACTATAAAACCAGCTTCAGTCTGGGCTAGTACAAGCAGCCGCATATACACATACACACGCATGCACGCATGAGCGAAATATTTTCAAGCACGACGTTAAACCCAATTTCACCTCACCTTAGCTCAGGTTCGATTCCCCAAATGGGTACAATGTGTGAAACCCTTTGGTGGTGGGGTTATCTTGGTGGGATATTGGTAAAATGGGAGTAAACTTTAACACACTCATACGTGTCAAGGACTAACACCAGCAGGTTAACTGATACAAACAGAAGGATTATGTTGTAACAAAATGATGGTCACGATGAAGAACGCACTATGAAGAACCGAAAAATGAAGAATTTAATCGGAGTCAGCTACAGAGTGGACTGATTGGAGTGAGTGAGTTAAAATTTTAAGTCACATCAGCAGTATTTCAGTCATGTGACTATATCAAGTTATATATTAATAATAATTACAGGTAAATTATAAAAACCTGTCAACGAAGGACAGTAAAACAACTAGCTTATCACAGATATAATTTTTTAAGCTAGTAATTAAATTTAAAACACCTTAACTATACATGACAAGTCAATATAAAAACAGGCTATAGATCGCCAACAACTGAAGGTAGATCACCATACTAGGGACAATGGGGACTTACAGTGCCTTTGCTACCTGCACGGACACTGGCTGGATTTACACCATCCCTTCAGTCGCTAGCGATTTTTGGAAAATATAGCCAAAATTAAAATCACAAAAATGTTACGTATAAATAATCCTGGTAAGTTTCCGCCATATAACTGGAATATTGCTGAGTGCGGCGTAAAACTAAACTCATTCACTCCTGGTAAGTTTAATTTTACTTTGAATTTTTGGGGACTTACGTACCTTTTCAGGACAATAATTTTACAGTATTTTAACCCCCTTTTAGGATAAAGACACCTACAATCGCAGTTGATAATCTAAACTGCCAATTATAAACATTTATCTATTTACAAAAAAATATCAACATTTATGCAACGATTCTATTTCTTTTAAAAATGGAATAATTAAATGATAATTAACATTAAAACGATCCTTCACTGTTTTGACCCTGAAATGTTTATCCCTTGTGATGGGGATTCATTGGAATGCGTTTACAGAAGGAGGAACTCTTTACAGTAATACATGTGTTGCTTCGCTTAAATATTCCTGGTTATAACTGGTCTCCAGCAACTCATGTTTGTCGTACGAGGCAACTAACGGGATCGGAGGTACTTTTCTGAAGAAAATTCTTTATCCCCCAGACAATACACAATTCTTATCTATTGCGCCTTCCACCCACCATCCAGTAACATAAATTGCATGATGTCAATACGTCTGGTCATACTAAAATCTAAAGGTTTGAATAGTCACCTCACTCAACGATGTGACATGAAATGTTTATATCAGGTGTTGGCATCGTTAAATGAAAATTAGATTATGGATTATTTCACAGTCATCTATGTTATATATCTCAAACCCATTTCATATTGTCACAGCTCAATCACGCTGAACAATATTCTAGAACAACATGTGCAGTGAAATATCAAGATAACTTAATCAATGGCAACCTTGAATTGCTGTTCGTGACTACAGCTATGCTGTATTTGCCTCGAGAACGTGGTAAACATTGGAAGCACAAAACAAGCGAGATAGCGAACAGTTTTCTTGGAGCTCATCCCCATACACAGGTATTTTAAGTTCAGATTAACAGTTCTTCATGTTCACCATGGGACTGATGTAACCATTCTGCATTTGTATTTCGATATTATTGTGTGACTCTCGAATGAACAGAGGTCTACAAGAGCAACGAAATTGTATGATGTAATGCACAGAGCAAGCGTAAGTGAGATAAAGCATACTAATATGAACATGGGTTACTTATACTTAGATTATCACGTTTTATATGATACCTTGTTTAAGGAGAAACGACACAAATATTTCGTCCTAATATTCGTCCTAGTAGTAGAGGTTTTGGAATAGTGGGGCACGGACTATCAGGGATCCATAGCACAAAACTCGTAGAATGTTACTTCGGCATTAAGGGTTTTATATTTTATAAAAAATACAGTGTCCTTACAATGGATGACTGTTTTGTGCTCAGATTGAATAACGGATCCAATTACAACAGCTACAACTCACGACCACACACCGAGATGGCGCTGGGTTGCTGTGGAAAGACCTTCAGTTGCCTCTTCATCTTCTTTAATGTCGTCTTTTCGGTAAGTACATTAGGACAGTAACTTATGTCATGCTAATGCGGCACCATTGAATGTATATATTTTTACCTTCATCTGCGCTTACAACCGCCTCCGTGGTGTAGTGGTTAGAGCGTCCGCCCGGAGAGCGGAAGGTCGCGGGTTCGATCCCCGACCGCGTCATACCAAAAGACTTTAAAATATGGTACTTGTTGGTCCCTGCCTGGCGCTCGGCATTAATGGGCAACAAGGACTGGTCGGCTCGGAGTCAGTATAATGTGTCTGAGTGGGGTATTCATGCTTCACTGCGGCATGGTATATCAGTGGGCTAGCACTATAAAACCAGCTTCAGTCTGGGCTAGTACAAGCAGCCGCATATACACATACACACGCATGCACGTCGTCATATGAGCGAACTATTCTCAAGCACGACGATAAACCCAATTTGACCTTGACCTCATCTGCGCTTACAATGTTAAGTAATTCAGAAGTGTCATTGCTATTCAGCACTTAGCAATAGTACATATTACTTATATTCCTTTACTTAAATATGTTATTATTTACTTGTTTTACGCACCTGCAATATCATTGTTATGGTATTGTCCTTGTATGCCATGTTTTACCGACCATATAGTCTATGCGGTAGGTACATCATTTCCCTCCTTATTTTAAATGATTAGACATGATATATGAAGCATAATGTTGTAACCCTAAACTGACATACAAAACATTGTGTGAACTATATGAGTAAGTTTGAGTTTATATAATATAGAGCACAACTAATTATAAATTTAAACAGTGTGCTTATCATTTCTCTGAAAGTGAGTAGCATTGTCTTGGGTTAACTGAGTAACAGAAACCTTTAACGCTTCAATTTATTAATACTTTATCCTGAGATTTTACCCATGCTACCAGGAGCAGAAGAAGAGTACAACTCTGATGGTTAACGCAACCAATTGTCTTTATTTGGCAAAACTTTATTGACATATTAAATCATAATGTCGCCAATATGAAGAATACGTGGTCATACAGTGATCATACGGTAGCTGAATGCACAAAACATTTTCATTAAGACAGTTACAGTTAATAATGAACATTATTTAAGATCGCTTCATAGTTTCCTGTTTCAGATTTCATTGATCATATGGTAACTGAATGCATAAACCATTTTCATTTGGACAGTTGCATTTAATAATGAAGATTATTAAAGATCGCTTCATAGTTTCCAATTTCAGATGTCTCCTAATCATGAAATGGATGGATGGTCCTGATCACTGTGTAAAATAAACAAAACCAAATAACTCACCTTAAAAGCC